TAGATAAAGAGAATTGGGACCCCCCCTACCCCTTCACGTGAACGCGCAAAAGGAGGGGTAAGGGAAAGGGCTGATGGGTAGAATTGGGATTGGGCCTAAAAGTGCGAAGACACACTCAAACCTTTCTCCTTTTGTTTTGATCCTTGTCTGACATCTTCTCACACTGCCACTTCACTTATCACCAACAGAGCTCAAACTGGCATCACCACAAACTGGCATCAATAGCTAACAAAGCAGGCATTTAGCAGCTCTATATACTTATAGCACTGCTGCTGGTTTGATAGAGCCTTGCCGTGGGGGTGATGAGAAAAGGCCATAAAACGAGGCTTTCTGCTGATTATAACTTGATCCCCAAGGCCTGGTGAATAATGCACACCCGCTGGCTGTTTTTCACAGGTGGAACCTGAGCTCTGCCTGAGTAAAGCGAGCAACCAGGAATGTGACGGCTAAATGCCAGCTGTCTGCTTTTCTATGCTTTCTCACTCCCAGACGCAATAAGAGGCTGAGTTGTTTTACATGCTGTGGTGGCAATTAATATGCCACAGCACTTTGGATATCATTTGTCTTGCTAAACTAAACCTAAACTCGTCTTGATGAATTAGGGTGAAAACAGATGTGAAGTTTCTGTTGTTGCTGTTATTAAAGAAAGACACTCTTTTAATAGTTACTTGTAAAACTGGGTTATTAACCGGTAAGTGTGCTGATTTTAAGGGATTAGTAATAGCAACAAGATGACTCCCAAAAGCATAGTTATCACAAAAAGTTTAAGTTGCTGCTAATTTGCTTGAAGTGCATCCGGAAAGTATTCATAGCACTTCACTTATTTGACAATTTTTGATGTTAGAGCCTTATTCCAAAATGGATTAAATTAATTTATTTCCTCAAAATTCCACACTCAATACCCCATAATGACAATGTGAAAAAAAGACTTTTTAAAATTGTTGTAAATTTATTAAAAATAAAAAACCTGAAAAATCACATGTACATCAGTATTCACAGCCTTTGTCGTGAAGCTCTAAATTGAGCTCAGGTACATTCTGTTCCCACTGATCATTCTTGAGATGTTTCAGCAGTTTAATTGGAGTTTACCTGTGGTAAATTGAGTTGATTGGAGATGATTTGAAAAGGCATACACCTGCCTATTTAAGTTCCCAGGGTTGATAGTGCATGGCAAAGCACAAATCAAGCATGAAGACAAAAGAATTGTCTGTAGACCTCAGAGACAGGATTGTCTCAAGGCACAAGGCTGGGGAAGGTTACAGGAAAATTTTTGCTGCTCTGAAAGTTCTAATGATCACAGTGGCCTCCATTATCCGTAAGTGGAAGATGTTTGCAACAACCAGGACTCTTCCTAGAGCTGGCCGGCCATCTAAGCTGAGTAATCGGGGGAGAAGGGCCTTTATCAGGGAGGGAATCAATAACCAGATAGTCACTCTGTCTGAGCTCCATCGTTCTTCTATGGAGAGAGGAGAACCTCACAGTAGGACAACCATTTGTGCAGCAATCCATAGCAATCCGTAGACCATAATAAACAAAATTCTCTGGTCTAATGAGACTAAAATTAAACTCTTTGGAGTAAATGACAGGCCTTAGGTTTGAAGAAAACCAGGCACCGCTCATCACCAGGCTAATACCATCCCTACAGAAGCATGGTGGGGGCAGCATCATGCTTTGGGAATGTTTTTCAGCAGCAGGAACTGGAAGACTAATCCGGATAGAGGGAAAGATGAATGCAGCAATGTACAGACTTCCTGAATGAAAACTTACTTTAGAGCGCTCTTGACCTCAGACTGGGGTAACGGGTTATCTTCCAGCAGGACAATGACCAAAGCACACTGTCAAAATATTAATAAAGTAGCTTCACAACAACTTGGTGAATGTCCTTGAGTGGCCCAGCCAGAGCCCAGATCTAAATCCTATTGAACATCTCTGGAGAGATCTTAAAATGGCTGTACATCATCGTTTCCTGTCCAACCTGATAGAGCTTGAGAGGTACTGCAAAGAGGAATTTGCAAAAATTCCCAAAGACAGGTGTGCCAAGTTTGTGGCATCATATTCAAAATTACTTAAGCCTGTAATTGCTGTCAAAAGTGCATCAACAAAGTTTTAAGCAAATGCTGTGAATACTGATTTACATTTTCAGCTTTTTTGTTTTTTATAAATTTGCAACATTTTCAAAAAAAACTTTTTTGACATTGTCATTATGGGGTATGGTGTGTAGAACGTTGAAGAAATAAATGAATTTAATCCATTTTGGAATAATGGAGCTGTAACATAACAAAATGTGGGAAAAAGTGAAGTGCTATGAATACTTTCGGTGTGCACCGTATCATCTGGCAATCATGATGATTTTTTTTCAGAAGACCAATAAAGATGTTTTTGGAGTAAAACACACTGAGTCAACAGTTATTAGCACTTTCAGAGTAACAAAAAATGATGACGACGATATATTTTGGTCTTATGAAAGCAATCAATTCGTCTGTGTGAGAAACTGAGCATTATATACAACATTACCACCTTTAATCCATGTTGGGAATCTGTGAAAAGTCAGTCTTCCCAATTGACATTGCACACAGGAAAACAATCTTACCTTTCATGTAAACTGCAGCACCCGAGAACTGCAAGAGTATCATTTTGATGATCAATTTTGTTTTGTCTGTATATGAATTTTTTGTTTTTTTTACTTTCACAGTTCTGGTAGCCGCTGACTTGCATTTTATGAATCACCAAGGACCACAGCTTGAATTGCCTAAGGGCAGCCTATGTTCATTTCTTTGGGTGAACTACAGTATATTTTAAGTGTTTGAGTGATATGTATGGTCACACTTTATTTTAAGATACAATTTTCACTATGTGAAGTTTATTTACTCCTTCTTTCCTAGATGGATGACACGGTGGCCTAGTGGTTAGCACTGTTGTCTCACAGCAAGAACGTCACTGGTACTTGTCCATACCAAGCCAGCCGATGTTTCTGTGTGGAGTTTAAACATTTTCCCCGTGCTCACAAGGGTTTCCCCTGGATTTCCCGGTTTCCTCCCACCGCATAAAAACATGTAACTTAAGTTAATTGACTAATCCAAATCCGCACCATAGAAATGCTCCTAGTAAGTAGTTATCTCTTAAGAGCAATCACTATCTGTTCATTAGGTACTACAGCAGAGGAGTTCTCGAGATCTACTTGGGCTCAAACTCCTCTCTCGCCTTGCAAACAGGAGGAATCCCCGGGCTCTAGGATCTTTTGAGCTCAAGGCTCTCTCCCTGGACAGCATGTCAAACAAGCTTTATGATCAAATCAGCTAAGTGTGGACTCTTAAATTGTGAAAGGTTAAAATGTTTGTGAAATGATGCACTCCACACCATCTTATTAATATCAACAAAACTGAGAAAATTATCTTTGATGCAAAGTCAATGGGATATCATTCACCTGTGGTTATTGACTGGGTGTTCACATAGATATTTTGCTTATCTGGGGTCCACATGTAGACAGTATTTGCATGTAGACGCTATGTATTTGCTGTGTGGTATAGAAACATTATAGTTCAGTCTAAATCTAAGCTTGGAGGGCTGGTGAAGACAGCCATGAAAATCTTAGGGTAAATGGAATATCGATCCTTGCAATCTTTATATGAGCAATCAGTTCAGGACGAAGCTAATAAAATATTAGCTGACCCCTCGCACAGCATGTGATATTTTAAATATGTAATATTTATTAATGATTGAATGTTTGTGTTGATTTGTGCTTTTTGATGTCTGTTTCTGTTCCGTGTATGCAAATGTGGGGCTAGAATCTAAGAAAAATTTTCCCATTGGGGACAATAGAATGTAAACAAACAAACTATTATTAACTACTAACTATAATTTTTGCCTCAATAATCTTTTAATTTATTGCTAATTAATTGTTATTAGGTAGTAGTTGGGTATTAAGATTTGGGATGTAGAATAAGATCATATGTGCTTTATTAATACTATATACATAAACAGATAACATCTTAATTATAGGCAGGTAATAAGTAGGCCTATACACGGAATCTACGCACGGAGAATTCCGCAGATTTCCGCAGATTTTTAGCCCATCATTGATTCTGTTGATTTACATGTGTAAATGTGAGTAAATTTATATTTATTGAGTTTTCAAATTAATTTTAATCTAATTATTTACTAATAGGAAAAGGTTCATATGATTTATTCACAATACAGTTTAATTCAAAGCTCTGATGTTTGCTTACAAAGTGACTTCTGGCTTTGCTCTTTCTTATCTGCTCTCACTTCTGAAGATTTATGTGCCCTCCTGAATCTTGCGTTCTGTGAATGAATGTCGCCTCGTGGTTCCATCCCAAAGAGGGAAAAAAATCCCTTTCCCTAATTCTCGCATTCAATCTGCCCAGTTGGTGGAATGAAGTCCCTAACTGCATCAGAACGGCAGAGTCACTTGCTGTCTTCAAGAAACGACTAAAAACTCAACTATTTAGTTTCCACTTTCCTTCCTAATCTGCAATTGCCTCTCTGGCTCCACCGCTAACTGTACTACAAAAAAAACTAAAAATTACTAATGTTTTGCTTCTTACACTTTACATACCTTAAACTTGCTTACAGCACTTATTTATTGTTGCTCTTATAGTTGTGTAAATTGCTTCCTTGTCCTCATTTGTAAGTCGCTTTGGATAAAAGCGTCTGCTAAATGACTAAATGTAAATGTAATATTTTCTGTCTTTTAGTAGATATATTATATGATAGACTTGCTTTGTTTACCAAATAAATTGGATCTGCATTGTAAACATTAAATACAAGTTAAAAAGCCATTATCTTTTATGTCAAATATTATTTTCCCAAAATCATTCCGCATAATTTTTTAACAAAATTTTCTGCAGAAATAGCAAAAAATGTCCGCAGATTTATTCTAGCCCTAGTAATAAGCCACTAGTTAATAGTGAGAAAGGGTACTTCAACTAAAATGTTACCATATACCTATAATAATAATATAACATTTAGGTTCTTCTCACCTTGATGGTCAGCATCACATGTGTGTGACTCTTTAGCACCTCCACTGCATTGCTGTGTGTGATGTCCTCAAAACTCACTCCATTAGCTGCCAAAATCTGATCCCCCATCTTTATTCCATTTTGTTCTGCCAGGCCGCCAGGGTCCAGCCTCACCACAAAATAAAAAAAAAGCATTGCATGAATAAAATTAAATAATCTTTTGGCAAAAGACTTTTATTTCCTGACACTTCATGTCATACTTTGAAACGTAGATACCAAGGCCAAACTCTTTGCCGCCACGGATGTTGAAGCCCAGGCAATAGTCATCTGAGGTTGTGTAAAGGTGAACTATTCTGCGCAGAGCTCCGTCTGAACTGGCCTCTGAAGGTGTGCGACCACTTTCCTCCACTACCATCCTTCTGTGGATCAGATCCACCCTGCAAACATATGTATTTATATACAGTGAAGATCAAAAATTTTTTATTTTATTTTTTTCAGAAATAATTTCATAGTTAAAAAATTTTATTGTTCTTAGTTGTGTCCATACCATGATAGATGAACAGTGTTTTACAATGAAATAAGGCACTTTTGTGTGAAAACCCTGAGATCAAAATTAGAGAACAGCAAAGAGTGTAGAAAATGACAAGAAAATAAATTACAAGAGTGAAAAATGAGTACTCTTTAAGCCCATCATTTGAATGACTTCTCTCACAGGACATCACTAACTCTCACCGATATCTCTAGTCTATCATAGGACATCACTAGTCTCTCGCAGGACATCACTAGTCTCTCATAGATATCTTGAGTCTCTCACGGGACATTTCAAGTCTCTCACAGGACACCACTAAGTCTTACAGATATCTTTAGTCTCCCAAAATCCATCACTAGTCTCTCACAGATATCTTAAGTCTCTCACAGGACACCACTAACTCTTACAGATATCTTTAGTCTCCCAAAATACATTACTAGTCTCTCACAGATATCTTGAGTCTCTCACATGACATTATCAGCCATATCACCCTGCAGCCCAAGACCGGTTATTCACTGAAGCTAAGCAGGACTGAGCCTGGTCAGAACCTGGATGGGAGACCACATTGGAAAATTAGGCTGCTGTTGGAAGTGGTGTTAGAGAGGCCAGCAGGGGGCGCTCAACCTGCGGTCTGTGTGAGTCCTAATGCCCCAGTAAAAGTGAAGGGGACACTACACTGTTATTGAGTGCTGTCTTTCGGATGGGACATTAAACCGAGGTCCTGGCTCTCTGTGGTCATTAAAAATCCCATGGCACTTCTCATAAAGAGTAGGGGTGTAACCCCAGTGTCCTGGCCTAAGTCCTTCAATCAGCCCTTATGATCAAGGCCTCCCAATCATCCCCATCCACTGAATTGGCTCTATCACTGTCTCTTCACTCCACCAATAGCTTATGTGCGGTAAGTGCACTGGCGACATCCATGTGGATGCTGCACACTGGTGGTGTATGGCCATACACGATAAATGCGGTATGTAAATACACTCCTATTTTCTCACAGATGTCTCTAGTCTCTCAAAGGACACCACTAGTCTCTCACAGATATTTCAAGTCTATCACAGGACACCACTAGTCTCTCACAGGACATCACTAACTCTCACAGATATCTTGAGTCTCTCACACGGCATCACTAGTCTCTCACAGATATCTCTAATCTTTCACAGGACATTACTAGTCTCTCACAGAGATTTCGAGTCTCTCACAGGACACCGCTAGTCTCTCACAGGACATCACTAACTCTCACAGATATCTCGAGTCTCTCACAGGACACCGCTAGTCTCTCACAGGACACCGCTAGTCTCTCACAGATTTCTCTAGTCTCTCACAGGACATTTCTTGCTTTTGAGTTAGTCCAAAGTGCATAAACTAAGCATTAGCATTTTACTACAGCTAGATTTTTTGCCCCTTTGGTTACACAGATTTTACTTCACATGTAAACGCATCGACATTAAGCTACATTTTACTCATATTACGACTCATTTTTTAAGCAGATTTTACTCTACTTGCACTTCATTTTTTGGCAAGTAATGGTCCTTTTACTTCAGTAGGACTTTTTTAGTACTCTAGTACACTTTCCAGAACTATGCACCGATTACACACTTTACCGTTTTAATTGAAAATGATAAATCATGCACAAAAAAGAAACACACATAAACATTCACATGCACGCTCATGTACTTAATAAAGTATAGTAAACTTGCTCATGCTACTATCAGGTAATGAAATGGCTGAGAAGACCACAAAGGTAACTCTAGCACTGCTGTATGCTGAAACAGAAGCTGAAGGAAAAGATAACAAGCAAAGGCCAAGAGTCACAGGGTTTCCACCCCATTAGTCAAAGCAGGGAGTGGGGGGCTGCTGCCCATCGCAATATTTTACTTATCGTCTCACTTCCATTCAATTAAACCCTATAATCCTGCACATTTGTAACAAACACATGCTTGAAAATGTCAGTATTACAATCAGGCCACCAAAACAACCTCTGAATGTTCAAGGACAAAACACACTCTTCTGTTATGAGTTGTTAAAGTGCATTTGGAAGAGCTCCAGGTGACAGGCTTCTGAGAGACATCTCAAGCTGATACACAAACAGCTAAACAAAATAAGGTCATGTTGATGCATTATCATTATTATTAGGTTTTAATTTATGCACAGATTTTAAATTAAATTAAATTAAATTAAATTAAATTAAATTAAATTAAATTTAATTTAATTTAATTTAATTTAATTTAATTTAATTTAATTTAATTTAATTTAATTTAATTTAATTTAATTTAATTTAATTTAAACATACAAGCCAGGCTACTGGAGAGGAGTATCCTGTCGATGGTTGAACCTATGATCCAGAAAGAACAACGGTCTTCGTCCAGGCCGTGGTACGGTGGACCAGCTCTATACTCTCACCAGGGTGAGAGGGTTCATGGTAGTATGCCCAACCAGTCCACATGTATTTTGTGGATTGGAGAAGGCATTTGACTGTGTCCCTCATGGCATTCTGTGGAGGGTGCTCTGTTAAGGGCTGTCTCATCCCTGTATGAACAGAGTAGGTGTCTGATTCGCATTGCTGGCTATAAATCAGACTTGTTCCCAGTGCATGTTGAACTCGGGCAGGGCTGCGCTTTGTCACGAGTTCTGTTCATAATTTTTATGGAAAGAATTTCAAGGCGCAGCCTTGGGCTGGAGGGGGGTTATTCACAGACGATGTTGTTCTGTTGGCTTCATCAAACATGGACCTTCAACATGCACTGTGGCGGTTTGCTGCTGAGTGTGACGCAGCTGGGATGAGAATCAGCACCTCCAAGTCCAAGGCCAGGTTGGAGTAAAGTCCTTAGCCCAGGTGGAGGAGTTCAAGGATCTCGGGGTTTTGTTCACAAGTGAGGGAAGGATGGAGCATGATATTGACAGGCGGATCAGAGCAGCAGCAGCTGTAATGTGGTCAATGTACCGGTCCATTATGGTAAAGAAGGAGCTGAGCCAGGGGCAAAGCTCTCAATTTACTGGTCACTCTACGTACCAACTCTCACCTATGGTCATGAACTTTTGGTCATGACTGAAAGGACAAGATCTCGTATACAAGTGGTCGAAATGAGTTTCCTTCACAGGGTGGCAGGGCGCACCCTTGTAGATAGGGTAAGGAGCTCTGTCACCCGGGAATAGCTCAGAGTAAAGCCGCTGTTCCTCCACATTGAGAGAAGTCAGCTGAGGTGGCTTGGGCAACTGAAGCATACCTAGGGAGGTGTTTCAGGCATGTCCTACCAGGGGGAAGACCCAGGACATGCTGGAGGGACTATGTCTCTCAGTTGGCCTGGGAATGCCTCTGGATCCCCCGGAGGAGCTGGAGGAAGTGACTGGAGAAAGGGAAGTCTGGGGTTCTCTCCTAAGACTGCTACCCCGCGACCCCCGGAAAGTGATAGAAAATAAATGAATGACATAGGCTGTTTCTCATTATGTGTTCTTCAGCAATCTTGCGTCCTTGTGTTCTCATGTAACATCATCATCAACTGCCAAAGTTTAGTTCCAAAACTCAAGACTGCAAGAACAGAGGACGCTTGAAACTTCCCGGATGTGTTCTTAATATTGAGGACGCATTGATGCAGACTAGAGCACCGAATTCGCTGTAGAAGTCCCAGAAGTTTTTGTGACTGGAGGTGGGAAGCGCAGCATTTTTACATTTGCTAACACTGCATTTATCATTATATACACTCAAAAAAATGTGTTTTACTTGTTCAAACTACTTCATTAAAATGCGCTGAAACAACACAATCCTTGAGATTTCATTGGGACAGCTTAATTTCCCTTAATTTTTTATGTTCAATCCACATACATTTGTTAAAAGTGTTAAGTGAACTTAATTTGTGTTGGGACAACATGAATAAATTATGTGGAATTATGTGGTATCAAACATTTCACCGTCATTAAACACAGTTACTGTCTTTCTCCCCTGCGTCTGTGTTTGTTTTTCCTCGGTGAAAATCAGCGCGTAATCAAATGGAAACTCCCATTTATTTTCAAATCCTTCACTTTTCCCTCCCCCGACACTCCCACCCAAATAGAGCTAGACACACCCACTTTCCTGATTTTTCCAAACTAGAGGTGTGAAAACACTCGCTGAAACGGGGGGGTTCATGGCCCTTTAAAGTTCAGAGATAGTACTTATTTGTCTCAGGAGTTTCCCAAAATGAAGAAAAATTGAATAATGAATGTTGAAAAGAGTATGCCAAATGTTCCCGGATTGTTTACTATTTCCGTAAAAAAAAATTCAAAGGGCACCTAGTTTACCCCTTTTTTTAAGATTTATTATTAATATAATGGTTCTTCTGAGTGTTTCAGTTTAGGTTCAGTTCAAAACACAATTCAGATTTTTTTTATTATAATGTATAAAAAGTGTCATTTTGGGGGCGTGTACAAAGCTTGCTGTTTTAGTGGTGTGTTGCTTCACATGAAAATAAGTTTCGACTTCCCGTCCAACCTAACAACGGGACGGAGCCAAGAGTTCCCCTGCTTTGTGTATGGCAACAGACAGGCAGACGGAGAGAAGCAACATGAGTAAGAGGACCAGCATTCAGCATTCAGCTGTACATGTACGAATCGAGAGGAGTCTGTTGGTGCCCTGAATTTCACAAATCGAAAACTTTGTGAGTAATAATATATCATCAGATGCTTCCTCAGGTTCTACATTGAAGCCTTTGGTGTCGAATGTGTTTTAACAGCTGGCAAACAAATTTTGCACTGAACTGTTATATGTGTACCCTTCACTGATTTCAGTGTAAAATGATTTTAAATTTCCAGCAATGAAATGCATTTTTATCACTCGCCATGGTGGCAGCTCTCAGACTGGTTGTAGTAGCCTAATGCTTTAAGTGGCAGAGAGGATTAACGTAACTGATAGACGTGGTGCGCAGCAAATTCAAAACGGAAAACTAATCAAAAGCATCAGAATAGCGCCGCTTTAATAAAAGGCCTTAGCAGAAGGCATCGTACATATCAGAAACAGGCAAAGCAACAGATTAATATTATTCAACATATCCCGGATTCTTTAAGAAAATGTTTAGATGTAACCACATTTGTAATCTTTAACAATCAATACTGTGAATTGTGACCTAAACTAAAGTTTTACCATAAAATCTTTCCCACTTACCATGTAGTCTTCTCTTTTGAATAGCGAATGCCTGGCACCTTCCCCACGCGTCTCACCACCATACGCAGACGGTTGTTTCCGGTCAGGACTTTCACAGCACTGCTCATAGTGATGCTCTCCAGACTTATGCCGTTCACCTCAACCAGCTTATCCCCAACACACAGGCCTGCCATCTCTGTAGTGTGGAACAAGAACACACGTATGAATGTTTGGGATGAAATCTTAGTCGTGTTGTCATCAAAAGTGATTACCGCTTCTGTGTTTTGGTACCTGCAGTGCTGTCGTCCTCCACCTTGCTGACAAAGATTCCCAGGCCATGCTCAGATCCTCCGCGCACACTGAAACCCAGATGGCCATCCTCACTTTTATCTACAGTGATCGTGTGGATGTCTTCACTGTCATCTCCACCTACATTACAGCACACCATCAAACATAACACAGTGATTTTTCATGAATCATTTTATCTTTAACAAAAGTTTTTTCAATAATAGTAGAACATAATTTTAGACAATAATATTTGAGAAGCCCTGCTATATTTACAGATAAGGAAAGGCTCCTCTCAGCCTTGATAGTCAATAACAAAATTTGTTATAAAAAATGGTTTCTCAATTTCAAACCATATAAAGTATAACTAATTATGTAAATATTTTGATGTCAACTCATTTATTGTCATAATTTCACTATAAAAATGTCACATATTGACAGTAAACATCAAAAGAATGTTTAACATGTCTCATTTGATGGAGTTTATTTTTTTCTTTCACTGCTTTTGTCATATTTTAACACAATATATTATATTTCTTTATAATTTAGTTAATAATAGGCTGTCACGGTGGCGCAGTGGGTAACATGATCACTGGTTCGAGCATCGGCTGGGTCAGTTGTCATTTCTGTGTGGACTTTGCATGCCCGTGTTCGCGTGGGCTTCCTCCGGGTGTAATAATAATAATAATAATAATAATAATAATAATAATAATAATAATAATAATTCCTAAAATTTATAAAGCCCTTTTCTTGACACTCAAAGTACTTTACACATTAGGAGGGAATCTTGTCATCTACCACCAGTGTGCAGCATCCACACACAAGCTGATTGGTGGAGAGGAGACAGAGTGATGAATCCAATTATGATATGGGATGGTTATGAGGCCGTGACTGACAGAGGCCCGTGGGCAAATTTGGCCAGGATGCCAGAGTTAAACCCCCACTCTTTTTTAAAGAACATTCTGGGATTTTTCACGACCACAAAGAGTAAGGTCCTCAGTTTAACATCTTATCTGAAGAACAGTGCTCACTGAGCAGTATAGAGTCCCCTTCGGCCCCTTACGACCCATACAGACTGCAGGTTGAGTGCCCTCTCACTAACAAATTATTCAATAGGTTGCAACCTCACTAACACCCCTTTCGGCAGCAACCTAGCTTTCCCATGTGGTTTCCTATCCAGGTACTGACCGGGTACAGCCACGCTTAGCTTCAGTGGATGACCATGTGAGAATTGCAGAGAGCTAGCTGCACAATTCCAAAGACATGCGCTATAGGGGAATTATGTAAGCTAAATTGACCATAGTGTAAGAGTGTGAATGAGTGTGTATGGATGTTTCCCAGAGATGGGTTGCATCTGGAAAGGCATCCGCTGTGTAAAACATATGCTGGATAAGTTGGCGGTTTATTCTACTGTGACGAGCCCAAATTAATAAAGGGACTAAGCCGAAAATAAAATGAATAAATGAATGAATAGTAATTAATATAATTCAGTTATTCAATTTCCTTCAGGAACCACACGCCAACACAGGGAGAACATACAAATTCCACTTAGCAACGCCAACTGGCCCAGCTAGGACTCGAACCAGCAACCTACTTGCTCTGAGGCTTGCTCTGAGTGTTAACCCCTGAGCCACCGTGCCACCCTTTAAATAATATAACATAACACAATATATTATATTATATAAATTCATATTTCCTATCATGACAAACAATGCTTCTCCTGCATAATTTGATTATATTTATTATATTATTGTGCTTTATTTACATTTATTAATCATTGTTCAACATCTACTAATATATGTTCACTGTAACATTAATTTGGATGTTCAGAACAGGAAGGAGGTGTGAATTCAAATGCAGGGTTTATTAAATGGAATGGTCAGGCAAGCAACAGACAACACAGGGGCAAAGAGATGTATATGGGCAATCCAGAGTCGTGGTCGATAAACAGGCAGATGGTCAGTACAGGTAGGGATGGCTGACGGGAAACTGACATTTCGACAGTGTCGAGATTGCCCGAAGGGCAATAGTTTTGAAACACTGCATCGAAGCATGATCCGAAAAACCCAGGTCACGTGACTAAAGTGTTTCGAAACCCCTGGTCATGTGACTAAAGCTATTCAAAGCATCGACCATTTCGAGACCTGGCGAATCTGCCTTTGACTGACAGGGTCAGAAAAAGCTTCTGTCTCATATAGCCTAGTGGACTATGCGTGTGCACGTTGTTACTGTTCTTCAACTGGCTTTTGGGTTCGAAACCTGACTTGTACAAATACTCCGAAATCTGCTGCCATCAATTTAGCATAATTTTTGTAACACTGTAAAACAATACTTAATATTTTTACAGTGATGTGATGGTTGGGTTTAGGGTTTGGGTAGACGTTAATAAAATATAATAAATTGGAAATTTAATGAATAATATAAATAAATCTTATTAACTTCCGGCCACAACCTTATCTAATTAAGCAACAATCCTGTTTTATAACCAAACATGACATATTTATTCACAAAGTGAATAATCAGATATCAGACCAATGGTGAAACAAAACGATGCAAGAACAGAGCATTTCAAACTGATATTAGGCATTTCAAAATAGCTGCATCAGCCTGTATTCGAACCCACTATCCTTGCATGCTAATCAGGAACTCTCCCCGCTCCACTATTTTACTTGACGGTTCAACTCTACAAAGTAAGGTTTAATACCTCAATTTGCTCAGCTGGTTCTTTGCCGAAGCTGTTCCAGTGCAATACATAAAAAATGTCCACTAGGTGTCACGGTAGAGACGGGTTTCGAAACATTTCGAAACTTTGACACTTTTGCTTCTACTGTTTTAGTGTTTCATGAAGCCTCGCTTTGCCCATCACTAAGTACAAGCAGGCAGCTGGCAACGTAAACAAACAAAACAAAGCAAGGTTCAAAAACACAGAAGGCAAGGCAAAGAAAATGCACCGTAATGTTCGCTATACAGTTCAACAAGACTCAGCAACTTGTGTGAGAAACAGAGGAGTTTAAATAGGCCAAGTAATCAATGATCATGAGTATTAGCTGTGTCTGGGCCAAATGTGTGAGTGGTGCATGACTGAATATGTAGATATTTTGCTGGCAGATTTGTAGTTCTCCAGTGATCTGCATGTTTTCCAGCAATCTGCACAGGCTGGATCCCAGGTGATGGTGACATTAACATTAGTTAATGCAACTAAAACAAATTTAAGAAGTTAACATGTACTAGACGTAGTTGTGGCCTAATGATTAATCAGTGAGACTGCTAACCCAAAGGTTATTGGTTTGATTCCTGGTCCCTACAGGAATTGAAGATCTGGGAGTGAATGAACCGCACACTCTCCATCTTCGATACCAAGCACAGGTGCCCTTAAGCAAGTTGCCCTTAACCCCTAATTGGTCCCTGGGTGCTGGAGACAATGGCTGCCCATTGTTTCAGACGTATTCTCACAGTGTGTTTGTGTGTGTGTGACCCCACTCAAAAATGTGTGCACTTGGATGGGTTTAAAAAAAAGAGAACCAATTTTGAGTATGGGTAAAAACCAAGCGGCAACCTCCCGCTCTCCAGCGTGAAGCAAATACGGAAGTAACTCAAATTGCAATTCATCATAACTCCGCTAGTCCTGGATCCATAATAGAGCAGATTTTTATTGACCCCACTTTTAAAATGGCCAACTACAACAGAAAAAAGGTGTTTACAGCCTGGTACAAAGAACGATTTGGATTCATATAGCTAATATTACCGTTCATAAAAACTGTGAGGGGGGTGATTTTTTTATAACTCATCCGTTTCCATTATACTAGGTTGTATTAAGTTTGCATAATTAAAGTGTGGCCACTTGAGTGACAGCTACAGTAGGTCTCGCTGGTTGCCATCACTTCACCTCAGCTAATTTCAGCTGATTAGCCGCTGAACTCAGCATATACATCATGTTTTTGTTTTGTTTCTGTGGCTTTACACAGTCAGTTGCCTTTTGGAATTATTTCTTACAATTATTAGATGATAATTGTTGTGCATGCTGTGTGCACATAATTGTGCTCACAAACCATTCACATGGCCTTCGTTTCATAGTTGAGTGAAATTATATACTTATATACCATCTTTTTAGATGTATTTGTTTTATTTAAGATCATTTATAATTTTCTTTAGACCTATAAAGCACTCCAGAATCTGACAGATTGATTAGCTGTAGGCTCTACAACAGTCATCTGAAATGTTGTCATACAGTGTTATGCCTGGATGTCATAAATAGCTTTGCATTTACTAACAGACTATATTTGAAGTGTTTGGAAGTAATTCGCTTTTTCCACTTATAGGAAAACTTTATAACAACAATGTTTAGTGGCTCAATGTATAACAACAGTGTTTTTTGAAGTCTAAACACTTTATTGATATAGTGTACAACCAATAACATTTGATCAGAACACAAACGAGTCGCAGTTAAGGAAGTATTCAGCGTTTCTCGCCTGTTTAAGCAAAAGGATAGCAGGCGTCTGTAGCTCCGCTCACGCTCTGCCTCTTTGCCCTTGTTTGGTATCCCCCGGACAGTGCGATGATGCACAAACAAAATGGCTATGGTTGACCATGCCTACTGGTAGCTTCTTTTGGGTTCTTCAGAAACCTATGAGTGACATCACAGATACTACGTCCATATCTTATACAGTCTATGGTAAAAAGCATCCTTGGCAAAGCTCTAACAATGAATTACTTTATTTTCATTACCTAACATTAACAAGATGAATAAAAACTGTTGTAAATGTTCTGTTCGCTGTTTGTTCATGTTAGCTAATACAATAACATTAATTAATGGAACCTTATAGTAAAGTGTTAACTATCCATTACTGCACTGTAAAAAATTAATACGCAAAAATTTGCTACTTTGAAATATTTTAATCAAGTAATCCTGTTTCAAAGGGTCATAAAACCCTGGACTAGATGAGATTTTAACAGATTTGTTTGTTGAACTTTTACTGTCTTACAATAAAGGCAATGTTAGCTTTAATTGTAGGGATTAAATGGCTAATTTTCATCTTTTTCATCCTCTGTTTTTTTCATCTATAAGTTTAAAACCTTTATTGGAGTGGCATCACTTTTGGTAGCATAAGACTACAAGTACTAAAATTACATGCCAAAGTTTAACAAGATTGAGTAGTGAGAAGAGCTGCCTCTGAATTATTTGGTCAAGCTGTGAGACTGTGCATTGGCATTCAAGATGCAAGTGTTTAAAAGTTGTGACTATTAACTGATTCGTTCATTGCAGTCAGAGGATCAATTATTGCAACTATTTAAAAGTCAAACTAAAATTAGAGTCGGATCGTTGCTCAACAGCAGAAAAGCTGTCCACATGGTAAGAGGTCAGCTGGTAGTGAGAAAATAAACAGAATCCATCTGTAGCATCTAACCGTGCAGTAGCATTCATTTTAAAGAAAAAATGCAGCCATACGTAGCCCTGTCTACATAATTTGTGCTCTCCAGAAATGTATACAGGGATGCGTTTTCACAATAAGCCTGTATTGCAATATTTACAATCAGGTGACATATCATCCATGGAAAAATGTCACCCAATAGTCAAAACAGGTCTCCCTAAATTACTGCAGGTGAAGCCACAAGCATAAATTCTGATGTAAGTACCATTTAAAGGGGATATGTGAACAATTTAGAAGCCATAGTCCTTATCTGTGCTTGCATTCATGAAAACACATGATGTAAAAGAAAGTATTTAAGAGAGTATTTGAGCCCACCAATAAACTCACAGTGAAGGTCTTTTTTGTTGTTTTTTTTCCACTAAAAGTAAAAAAGTACTTTGGAATATGACTTTCAAACATTTTAGTGCCTGTGAACATGTATGTCCCTTCAAAGCAGGTATGTGTGGGTACATTTTAAAATAAGCACTTTTTATTAATATAAATCTTGCATTTCCTAATGTGTTTTACTCAGAGTCAGTACAAGCCATAGATAGATGACAGTTGTTTGGTATCCTCTTTCTTTTCTACTTTCTCTGCCATGCCCACTTCTGCTCACAGCTTTCCACTGCTATTGAAGTTACATTATCTGAAGCAGACCTGAACTGAAAGATGGAGGTTTCATAATGACTTTACAATGACATAATGATTATATATATATATATATATATATATATATATATATATATATATATATATATATATATATATATATATATATATATATATATATATATATATATATATAGTGCATCCGGAAAGTATATAGCGCTTCACTTTTTCCACATTTTTTTATCTAACAGCCTAATTGCAAAATAGATTAAATTAATTTATTTCCTTAAAATTCTACACACAATAAATCATAATGACAATGTGAAAAAAGACTTTTTGAAACTTTTATTTAAAATAAAAACCTGAAAAATCACAAGTCATAAGTCATAAGTATTTGCCGTGAAGCTCTAAATTGAGCTCAGTTACATTTTGTTTCCACTGATCATTCTTGAGATGTTTCAGCAGCTTAACTGGAGTTCACCTGTGGTAAATTCAGTAGATTGGACATGATTTGAAAAGGCATACACCTGTCTATATATGGTCCCAGGGTGGAGAGTGCATGTCAAAGCACAAACCAATCATGAAGACAAAGGAATTGTCTGTAGACCTCAGAGACAGGACGTTACGTTTGGAGAAAATCTGGCAGCGCTCATTACCGGCCTAATACCATCTCTATGTTGAAGCATGGTGGTGACAGCATCATGCTGTGGGAATATCAATGGAGTGGCTTTAAAACAACTCAGTGAATGTCTTTAAGTGGCCCAGCCAGAGCCCAGACTTAAATCCTATTGAACATCTCTGGAGAGATCCGAAAATGGCTGTACACCATCGATTCCTATCCAACCTCTAAGAGCTTGAGAGGTACTGCAAAAAGGAATGGAAGAAATTCACAAAGACAGGTGTGCCGAGCTTGAGGCATCATATTCAAAAAGACCGAAGGCTGTAATTGCTGCTAACAGTGCATCAACAAAGTATTGAGCAAAAGCTATGATTACTGATCTACATGTGATTTTTCAGGGTTTTTATTTTTAATAAATTTGCAACAATTTCATTCATTCATTTATTTTCTTGTCGGCTTAGTCCCTTTATTCATCCAGGGTAGCCACAGTGGAATGAACCGCCAACTTATCCAGCAAGTTTTTACACAGCAGATGCCCTTCCAGCCACAACCCATCTCTGGGAAACATCCACACACACCCACTCATAAACTACGGACAATGTAGCCTACCCAATTCACCTGTACTGCATGTCTTTGGACTGTGGGGGAAACTGGAGCACCCGGAGGAAACCCACACGAAGGCAGCGAAACCATACAAACTCCACACAGAAACGTCAACTGAGCCGAGGCTCGAACCACCGACCCAGCGACCTTCTTGCTGTGAGGCGACAGCACTACCTACTGCGCCACTGCTTTACCCCACAACAATTTCAAAAAATCTTTTTTCACATTTTCATTATGGGGTATGGTGTGTAGAATTTTGAGGAAATAAATGAATTTAATCCACCTTGGAATAAGGCTGTAACATAAAAATTTGGAAAAAGTGAAGCGCTATATCCACTTTTCAGATATGTATATAGATTTGTTATATAATTTGTATAACTGTCATAATTATACAAATTATAATCGATATACTACCATTACACATAGTAAATCTGTAAGTAAAAAGGGGTAATTTTTATGCTTTCTCATTTTAAATGTTTAGAGCATAATGTTGTTGTTTGAACATGAAAATGAAAAGAAACAAAGCACAAATTCCCTATAAAGGCAAGTTATTCTCTGAATCAGAAAGCGTCGTTTCATAACTCCCTCAAAGGATCTTAGTCCTATGTTCTCTAATAGAACTGCTGTTACCTCAACATCATGAATTGAAATAATTCCTGAACAATGCACGATTGGAGGAAAAGGCCTGGTTGAGTTGCGTTAATACTTTGTTTTCACTGTGACCATGAGTTTTACAGATGTAATATACTGATACACATGCAATTTCCTTCCCAACAGTTTAAATTAAAAAAAAAAAATTGCATATAAAGAAACACAAAAATGCATGTGGAGGACGTCAAACAGCATTTACAGCATGGTAAGATAATAAGTGAACCGTTAGGTATCTTATTCAATTCAACAGAAAATCAGTGGACATCTGAGACTTGCATCATATCATATTTATATATAATATGATACAAGTATCATATTTTGCTTTTAAACAGAATAATTATATTTTAGAAACAGATACCTAAATCTGACCTCATAATCAATTTAAGATAGAATTATAGAAGAATTGTATTTTTAAGAATTAAGATAGAATTGAATTAAAGTACATTTTAAAGCTAACGCTAAGTGGGGTGTATCAAAGGAAAACTGACGACAATGATATGAACTGCTACTCTTGAGACTCACCATCGACAGGCGCGTTGATGAGGATGACCCGGCCCATAGGGGAGGAAGACCTCACTCCTCTCTGGCGCTGCTGCTTCTTGTGAAGGTAGCGCGGTAGAGTCGAGGTGCCCGAGGGACCTGGCTGGGCACTGGGATGAGCCCCATTCGTCATGTCTTTGCGTGCCGTGTCAGACGAATGAGCCATGGCAAAGTGCCGACCTCCCCTCTAACCCTCATCCAGGGTCTGAGCTGCCAAAGGGAAAACTAGCAGTCCGGTGGGTCACTAGCAGGATTACAGTCCAGAGGATTAGCTCCACAAAAGGAAACTCCACTGCAATAGTGTGGGAAGAAACTGCTATGGCTCCAGCATTGTTCACTTTAAATTAGATCCATTGATCCAAATGACTCATCATACTTATAATCGTTCCATACAGCAGCTGATAAACCAATGTTATCATAAAAGCAGAGGAAAAGCAAAGTGTATCCTAATGTGCATTGTTCGGAAGAGAGCCTCACAATGGCAGAGGTTGTGTAAAAGCGGCTGGGGTCTTTTTGCTGAGTTGAAAGTCTGCTGGTTGGACTGGATCATCAGGCTGGTGTCCCTCCTCAGTGCCAGTGGAGCTCTGCTTGGCAGGAGTCCGTCATCTGGTCCACCCAGGCCTCAGAGTCTCACCTTTACCTGCCAGTGATCCAAGACGACAGAGAAAGATCTGTGAGAACCCAGCCGCGCAATGACTAATTTCCCATGGGAGGTAAAGTGATATCAGCAATTATTGCATTCTGGAAAGTAAAGGGTTGCACTGTTTCCACAGCAAGATATACTGAGCTGATGAGGTTCACTAATACGTTTAGACTTGTTCTTTTAGATTAAGAATGCAGGGTGGTGCCTCAGAAATGTGCGCCATTTGTTTGCATTCGGTCATTGGATAAAGTCTGTGTGAACTTGATGTTCCTACCCAATTCATTTCATTAATTAATTAATTTATTTATTTAATCATTCATTCATTTTTAGCTTAGTTCCTTTATTAATCAGGGTCACCACAGCGGAATGAACCGCCGACTTATTCAGCATATATTTTATGCAGCGATTGCCCTTCCAACTGCATCCTAACTCTGGGAAACATTCATACACACTCATTCACACACATACACAATGGTCAAAATAGCTTACCCAATTCACCTGTACAGCTTGTCTTTGTACTTGTGGGGGAAACCGGAGCACTCGGAGGAAACCCACGCGAACATAGGGACAACATGCAAACTCCCCACAGAATTTTCAACTGACCCAGCTGAGGCCTAAACCAGTGACCTTGCTGTGAGGCAATTGTGCTACCCACTGCGCCACGTGCAGCCCCCATTGTATTTTTAGTATTGTGAAATGTTTTAATTTTAAATAGAGAGTATATTTTATTCCCCTCCTTCTTATCTTTAATCATAGTGGTTGGATGTAAGAGGTAAAGGAAGCTCTACTTAAACTGATGTCATCAGAGAAGCAGATTCATTCCAGAGCAGAAGCAAATTCTTTATTTATTATTCTATGAATTATTTTACTTGGATTAATTGTTTACCTCTAGTTTTGCTAATTGCAATGTCTCTAAATTAATTTTTCTCACAAAAAGATTACAAATCTGTCATGGTTTGCTTATTTTCCACTAACTCCAAACCAGGAGCCCGTTTCCCAACACCATCGTTAGCCAACTAAAGTCGCAAGTTGCAGCGTTACAAATTTAGTTTGTTGATTTGTCGTTACCCAAATCCATGGTTCCAACGAACATTCGCAAACTGTGTCGCAAACTTGAGCACTTGCAACTATACCTCTGGAGCTGTAGTTAGAAACATTGTTCCTGGCTGTGTTCTATTCCCACTTATCCCCCCTATGCCCTATTCATTTAGAACATTCTAACATTTAAACTTGAAATATTTATTTTTTTAAAAAGCATCAAGGTAATCTCTCTTAGGTGTAATTTGCTTTTAAATCATTTTTACAGTTCAGTTTTATCGATCTTCATGTTTACAACTGCGCTTCCTTCGCAGTGCACTGTAAAAAACAATGATGTCATTTTGAACACAACTGTGGCTAATGACGAAAGCTACAGGTGACCTATTATTTAAAAGCAGAATTTATGTTACGTGTCCGAAGCTTGTGAAAACAAAATAACATAGCATATGTTAATGCTTTTATTTTATAGTAGCTTATTTATTAATATCTGTACTGTATACACTGTAAAAAATGCAGGGTTCACACAACTCATTTGTTGTCCCAATACAAATCAATTAAGTTAACTTAACACTTTTAACAAATTTATGTGGATTGAACATAAATAAATTAAGCTGTCCCAAAGAAATCTCAATAATTGTGTTGTTTCAGACATTTTGACTTTGAACAAGTAAAAAAAAAAAAAAAAAATATATATATATATATATATATATATATATTGAGTGCATGACATGAGCCTGTTGGTTAGAAGATTTCTGCAGTGGTTTGCATGTGACAAATTGTGAAAGTAGACTTTTTCAAAAAAAAATAAATTAATTAAAAATATCCTACTTAATAATAATAACAACAATAATCTTCATCATCATCATTAATATTATTTATATTACTATTAAAGTAGGATTTTTTTTATTTCCTAATAAATAATAAATATTACATTTCATTTCTTAATAAATAGCCTCATTATTAATTTATTTATTATATATATATATTAGAATACGTGTTAGGTTTTATAAGTGATTTTATGTTCATTAAGAACATAAAATATGTTATGTATATATATATATATATATATATATATATATATATATATGTTCTCAATAATATTTGTAAAGGAAACACAGGCCCTATATGTGCCATTTACATATATTTCAACTAATATGGAAAGCGAGTGCATGTTTTTACTAAAACTAATTTAGAATTTTTTTTAAATGTGTGTGCATTTAAAAAATAGAATTTGCACACAAAAAAATGAGATTCTTCTCTAAAGAAGTTTTTAATCCACCCTGTTTAGAGCATCATTGTGTGCGTTTTACATCATAACTAACCTTGTTCAAACGATGGATCTGCAACAGAGAAACTACAGGTTTTGGGAAACACTCGTCACTACATCATTCTTTTCCCAAACGATGCATCGTACTATGACAGATTAGCTGCAAGTTACGTCGTTGCTTGGGAAATGCACCCCTGTTTGAGTTTTGTTCCTCTGCTAAACACAAACTATGCTATGTCAGAAACCGGCAGCTATTGACGTGCACAGGGTTTTTTTCCTACTATGGATTCAATGCTATCGGTTATCAGCATTTTAAAAATATCTTCAATTTAGTTCTGAAGAAAACCAATTGAGACCACTTGAGTGTGAGTAAACGATGAGTAAATATTAATTTTGGGGTGAACTTTCCCTTACATGTTTTTATGAACCAAACTGAAATCTGTTTACTTTCACTTTCATATTCAGTGTAAAAAAATAAGATTTTTAGTGACTAAAAATATGCTTCCATCCCTTGGGCTCCTTTTAAACATTACCAATACATTACTTAAACTGAAGCTTTAGAAACATATACAACTGGATGTACAGAGTGTGTAAAACTGACACAAAATTGAATATTCTCAAGACAATAGTTGACTACAATAAAGAGTAAAACATATTTAGGATTTGACAACATGTAAAACAGCAGTAAAATAGAACAAAAATATTTCTCTCAGAAGGAAACAATCTGGAACTAACTGTGAGGTCTGCTGGTTCTGACTGAGAGGATCACAACTTAACCCTACCCATTTACAGGGAAAGAGTGTGCTGGTTCACTTTCTAAAAGAAAAAAAAACTAATTCTGTATGATTTATAAGTTTTTTGTAAATAAGGGACATCAGCAATGTCTTCAAAATTAGCCGTTTCATTGTAATACATCATGTGTCGTACCAAGTCATTATACGCATTTGTGTCATGTCACAAAAACGCACGTGTACACACAAAACATAAATCCATTTTAGTCCAATACGAGTCATCTTGACTGTAAACGCGTACATGAAAGTTTTTGTCTCGTGCAATATGGTTACGAAATGAATTTAGCGTTGTCATGTTATCAGTCTTAACATGGCACTGCGACTGATTGGCTCATCATCAGCACCTCGGACAGCGCTCAGCAACAGGTTGCGTAAAGCGCAACGAAACGCTTCGATGAACAATATAACCCGACAGCGTTCACTGACATAATGATGCGTTGTCTCACTTGTTCATAATACACAGCCTAGCTTACATGAATCAGCGTGGGGAGATTTCACAACAATACAAAGATCATCCTCTTAAAAGATCGGTCAACATGTTACTACTTTGTTTGAAAGATCTGTCCAGAATAAAGCTGATTTACCGTATTTGCTTTTCCGTACTTAATCCAATGTTAATGCAATAAAACAAAGTTAGATGGAGTTAAATGCCGTTACCTGTCTCCATGTTGTGCCGCATGACCTCACCTGAGACAAAGACAATATTAGCCTTCCTTAAGCCCGCCTCTCAGAGCAGGTGATTGGATTATGTGGAGCAGCTCAGAAGGACACTGCACAAACTCATGTGGCTGACATTCGTCACTCATATCATCATAAGAGTATTACATGAGCTGACAGTGGTCTTGTGGGACAAGTATAGATCCAATTAAGTCCGCAAGACGCTAAATAAAGCACATTTCACATGCTCCTTTTCTAAATTGTTGCTCATTTATCTTTGATGGTAAAATACTGGCAGTTGTATTCTATTAAATCTATTATCAGAGACCGTCTTTTGACTACAGTGTGAATGTATTTTTGTTTCAAGGATAAACTGTGAGCACTGTGGAAAACTGAGCAACTTTCTTGACACTATGCTGCCACATAGTGGACATTTCTTCCTTGTGTGAATTTGGTTTGTTGTAGGTAACTACAAGTTGCACTCTTAAGACAAACCTTACGTGTTATGTTAATTTTACGCTATTAGGTTTCACCTTGTGTCAAAAACTTAAGTGGTTGAAGGCAACAGGTTACGATGCAATTTTGGGTTAAATCTATGGGCTTGTGAGATAACTAAAAACCTGTCACAATTGACTTCAATATTATGACAACAAATACTTTGGAAAGGGTCTGTCTGCAGACTGCAAAACAGGGGCGTAACTTGAAGGGGTGGACCTTGTGGTAGAGGTGTAACTTGCCGTTATCCAGACCCATGTCAAATCTATGCTGTCGGTAAGATGGCATTGTACCCATCACAGTTTATAATGTCTACACCAACCCCAATCCTAAAT